GTGACTCATCTGACCACAGAACAGTCTTCCATTTTGCCACACTCCATTTTAAATGACCCCTGGCCCAGTGCAAACGTCTGAGCTTGTGGAGCTTGCTTGGAAATGGCTTCCTCTTTGCACTGTAGAGTTTCAGCTGGCAACGGCGGATGGCACGGTGGATAGTGTTCACTGACAATGTTTTCTGGAAGTATTCCTGAGCCCATTCTGTTATTTCCTTGACAGTGGCATTCCTGTTTGAGGTGCAGTGACGTTTAAGGGCCCGGAGATCACGAGCATCCAGTAGAGTTTTACGGCCTTGACCCTTACACACAGCAAATGTTCCAGATTCTCTGAATCTTTTGATGATGTTATGCACGGTTGATGATGATAACTTAAGTCTTTGCTATTTTACGCTGGGTAACACCATTCTGGTATTGCTGCACTATCTTTCTGCGCAACAATGGTGGGATTGGTGATCCTCTTACCATTTGGCTTCTGAGAGACACTGACACTCTGAGAAGCTCTTTTTATACCCAATCATGTTGTCAATTGACCTAATTAGTGTTAATTGGTCTTCCAGCTGTTCCTTATATGCTCAATTTCCTTTTTCCAGCCACTTATTGCTACTTGTCCCAACTTTTTTGGGATTTGTTGACACTATGAAATTTTGAATCAACATATTTTTCCTTTAAAATGTTACATTTACGGGCAGCACAGTGGCGCAACTGGTAGAGTTGCTGCTTCTCAGCGAGCAGGTCCTTGGTTCAAACCCCGGTCCAGGGGCCTTTCTGGGTGGAGTTTGCATGTTCTCTCCGTGCATGCATGGGTTTTCTCCGGGTACTCTGGTTTCCTCCCACAGACCAAAAACATGCATGTTAGGCTGATTGGTAACTCTAAATTGTCCCTAGGTGTGAGTGAGAGAGTGAATGGTTGTTTGTCTCTATGTGTCCCTGTGATGGACTTGCGACCTGTCCAGGGTGTACCCCGCCCCTCGCACAGTGATTGCTGGACATGGGCACCAGCGACCCCCGTGACCCAAAATGGAATAAACGGGTAAAGATAATGGATGGATGGATGGATGTTACATTTACTCAGATTAAACTTTTGATCTGTCATCTGTTATAGTACGAATAAAATATTGACATTTGCCACCTCCACATCATTGTATTCAGTTTTTATTCACAATTTGTTTAGTGTCCCAACTTTTTTGGAATCCGATTTGTATTTGTACAAATTGTACTTGAGAGGAGATTATTACAGCCTCATATAAAATCAATGATGATCATGATATCGAAACTGGATCGGTATCGGCCGATATTCAGACTTAGGTATCGGATCAGAAGTTTAAAAAAGTGGATCGGTGCATTCCTACTGAAAAGTAGCTAAAAAGGCAGAAAGAAGCTTAAATTACCAGAAGGAAGTGGAGAGGGCACATTTTTGCTGAAAATGGCTGAAAAAAGTTGAAAGGAGTGCAAAAAAATTGGAATTAGCTGAAAAAGCTAAAATAAAAAGGATTACACAGCTGAAATATTAGAACGAGCAAAAACTTGCAGAAATAAGCTGGAAAAAAACATATGGAATAGAGATAGTAACAGCCAATAATAATAAATATAAACAGGATCACAATAGTGTGAATGCTTAATAAGCAATCACACTATTATTGGCTGCATCTTTACAACTGAACCTGTGGATATACCCAATTCAAGATGGCCACCATGCTAACTGATCTTAGTAAACAAAGAAATGACTTTAACTCCACCAGTTTTATAGACATTTAGCCAAATGTTAGTGTGGTAGTAGCTGAGCGTCTTTCAAAACACATACGCTGAGAGCTAACTGATCAGATGAGGGGGAAAAACGCTTTTATTACAAATGTACGAGAAATGCTTTAGATTGCTTTAAGATGAAAAGTGAACAAAGAAAATCTGTAAATAGCTGACCTTCAACACAATCTGCACTTCTGTCCAGGGGGATTATGGGAGGTGAAGTCTGAAGGCCAGATTTGTAGACCAGAAGAAGAACAAGGCGAATCACTACCCTGGAAAACAAAAATTCTGAGCCACAGGAGGAAACTAAAACTATGTTACTGTATCTTAAATTTTATGCCAATTTTCATTTTATGCTGGGTTCAGCAGGAGGAGGTTCAGCAGGAGGAGGTTCAGCAGGAGGAGGTCCAGGAACACTCCTGTTCCGTGTGAAGTAGCATGGCGTTAACATGCAGGACAGGAGATGAAAGATTTTCCTCAGTGGATAAAATATTCTCATTAAATCAAACTGCCGTGTGCCCACTGCAACCAAAAGCATGACTTTTTATTAATTAATGTTTACTAGGAAGAGGAGAGCATACTTAAAGATCTGAATGAGTCCGATCACCAGCCAGCGGCCCAACTCCCCCCACAGCTTGCAGGCTCCCATCTCCAAGAAAACCTCCACATACTCGAGCACAGAGAGCCAGGTCAAGAGTCTCTGCTGAGACAGAGACTGGACACAGCGCCACATTCCGCTCTTTAATAACTGGTGTTTATTTCTAAGAAATAGAAAATTATCCATTTGAGCTACTTTAATTTGACCAATTGTAAACGTTCGTTGATGTGCTGAACTTCAGCACAAAACTCAAACTTCTAGGACACTTGGTGCCTCTCATAAAGCTGTTAGAAACATGAGTGTAGGCAGAATGAAACCCATCACTGAGTGAATCTGTTGTGCAGCGCTCACCACGGGGAGGGCACATCGCAGGCCTTTACGCAAGATGCTGTCGTTGAACAAGACCAGGAGGTTGGAGGCAGAATACACTGCACAGATCAAGAGACAAAGCACAATGTGATGAGAAGATCACTTCTAAACAGGCCGTTCCAAGTGCACTCCACAGATATTAACTGTTCCAAACCTTTCCACTGAACCCTCTGTCAAAAGATAGGAACTATCCCTTTAAACAGCAAATTAAAATAAGATTGTTAATTAGACGTAAAGGTGGCTCAGTTGGTAGAGCTGTCGGCTCAAGGCAAGAAGGTCGTTGGTTCAAATCTCGGCTGGGGACCCTTCTGGATGGAGTTTGCATGTTCTCTCCATGCACGATGAGTGGGTTTTCTCCGGGTACTCCAGTTTCCTCCCACAGACCAGAAACATGCATGTCAGACTGACTGGTAACTCTAAATTGTCCCTAGGTGAGAGAGAGTGAGTTGTTTTGTCTCATGTGCCCCCATGTGTCCCTGTGATGGACTGGAGACATGTCCAGGGTGTCCTTGTCTCTCACACTGTAACTGCTGGACATAGGCACCAGTTACCCGAAATGGAACAAGAGAGTAAAGATGGATGGATGGATGGATGGATGGATGGATGGATGGATGGATGGATGGATGGATGGATGGATGGATGGATGGATGGATGGATGGATGGATGGATGGATGGATGGATGGATGGATGGATGGATGGATGGA